TGAGTGCGAGTGTTGGGGGTGACGGTCTTGTTTCACTCCCACAGACGAACGCGGACACGGGCGTAGCGCTTGTGCGCAGGGGTTCAGGGGGTACCCCCTGTCCCCAAACGTCTCGCAAGCAAGCAAGCAAGAGAGAGAGCGCGAGAGCAAGGACACCCGCCAATGAACTGCGGGGGTGCGTGCGCGCACGGCGGGGCAGCCTGGACGCTGCTGCTCCGTCACGCGCTGGAGAGAGAGAGAGAGAGCGAGAGTCACATGTTGTTTGATGTGCTTGACCCATACGAAACCCCTGCTGACTTAGACGTCCGGGAGACCACGGATGACTCGAGTTGTGCCTATGGGTTTCTCACAGTAGTGGTTTAGCGGGGCGTTTTCGTGGGGAGGCACACTCGAGGGCACCTGCACCTCTCCCACCCCAGGGTGCTTGCACCCATACCGGATCGAGTAGAGGCGTGCTGCCAGAGCGGCCCAACGAACGAAGTGGACAGCCACCACGACCAGCAGCATCACCTGCCGAGCGAGCAGAAAAGGGGGGGGGCAGTGAAGCTGGTCCCGAACCAACGATGGCCAGAGGTCCAACAGGTGCAAGTGGCCTTATGGCGGCCGAATGCGGCCGAGGAGATCACAAAATCGGGGTCTGCTCCGTGCCATGCTTTGCGCTTACTGACCGTAAAAATACATGTTATTCTGCCAGTCGAGACGGAGGAAATTCAATGGATGAAGCAGTCTACATCTTCCGTAAATCTCTGGGCATCTTCAATCCTTTTCTTCTCGCTCCATCGGCCAACTGAGTTTGCCCCAGAGCCGGCACTCCTGAAAGTCTACACCTGGGAAAAACGGAGAATGTGAGCAACTTGTCGTCATCCAGAGAGCAGTTTGAGGAAATGGCACAGTCAGCACAGCCCTAGTCGGCCTAGAGGCCTAGCGATTCCTGACTTCAGTTCACCTGGGAAGGGCTTGGAGCCTTGAAGCCAGAGAAAGTAAGGGCGAATGGCCCGAATTCCAAATGACCCAGTGTCGGCGAACCATGTGACAAACGCAGGCGGATCCTGGGACAGAGGCTGGGTGCCCAGTGTTGCTAGTGTTCTCTTGATGCTGATCCACTTCGCTTTAACTAGGTGAGTGCTGGCAGAGCCAATGCCTCGGCTTTTGCACTCAGGCTTTTGCTTCCGCCTTTGATGTCGCAGATTCGAGCATCCAGGGAGTCCAGTCCTGCATGCGTTGCGCAAGAACCTCGTGATTTTGCATATGTTGTGCATGAATCTCATGACCCTTTCTTCATTCGACTCGGGCTTGCCGCTTCATTCGCTAAACACTGTCGGCCGCGGCTGTTCGGTGTGCCTCGGGAACACGCGCAGCCCTCCCTACTCGGTCTACGTGGAAGTTGCCGTGGGCCCCGTGTG